GTTTCCCGCCAGTCATGCGCAGTGGACCTTTTGGCTTTTCCCTGATCTTATGGCGTTCCCGTCGCCGTCCGCGTTGTCGTTGCTTAAAGTCCCTATTAAGAACACTGGACTGAGCTGAGCGAGGGGTAGTGGGTTCAAATTCAAAACCGGACCACAAACCGGAGTCGTAAATTCGTGATAACTGGGTCATTCTCGCTGCGTACTCGATGATACACTCAGATGATATCGTCATTGGTGGGGCAGTGACGTTAAACCGTTAAAGGCCTTGTGTCCCTCACCTCCACTTTGATGGGGACGTAAAAGAACCGTTCCCACACACCTATCGAAAGAAGTAGGAAATAGAGTAACCGGTGTTGAAGTCTGTCCTAGATTACATCTCACCGTTGGTTGGAGGAGTGGTTAATGGGCTGTTCCAATAGCCTCTGGTGATGCGAGTATGCTTTCTTCTGGGTTGCGTCTTGCAGTTTTTTCACGAAATTGCCTCGAATTTACCTTGTCTCACCCCTGCAAATGCGGAGTGTTTATTGTTACCCCAACACAACTAAGATGTTCTTTTGTTACAGATCGACAAATCTTTTAGCCTTGATGATGTTAAAGATTCTCTTCGAAGACTGGTAGGAGGAACTTACAAAGAACACGGCAATGTTTACCGCACGATAAGAAAGGTGCGTCTGAAAGCGTTATTGTTGTCTTTGCTGAGTGTTTTGTTGTTGTTGGAGTTAATTAATCGTGAAAACCCAGACATCCTCTGAAACTATCGCTAAGTTTCATTTTAAAACGTCCTTTATTTTCCATGGGTAACTTATAGACCGGACGCAAGTTGGGCTGAGCCCTGAACAGTCACAAACAAATAATCGGAAGTGAGACTAACCTGTGAAATGTTTTAACTGCCAAAAGGCAGACCATTTGGCTATTTCATAAGCAAGGCTAAGGAGTTCAATTCGGCAATAAGATGGTGCACCTCTAGTTTATAGCCAAAGGAGTACCAGGAAACCGTGCGTTCGAATTCATGGAGCTGTTCTACTGCGCCATTTCAAGGCAGCAGTCGAGTGTCTCAAAAGATTCATCGTTATTTTCCTTGATACTCCTTGATTCAATTTACCTCTCTTTGTACATCTCTATCGAATAGGATGTTTTCATGATGTCACAATCTTACTGCAACTCAGCTGAGTCAGATTGACGAATCTTGTCGTACTGTCGCAATCTGACTGCAACTTAGCTTGGTCAATTAAAAAAAGGTCTACAACATGATCAGCTCCGTTTATAGTACTGCGACTTTTTCCGAGCGGAACAACCTTAACATATCAGAGTAACTGCTTTACAAATTTCTGTTTGATATGTGACAAATTTTTGAAAACAAGAAAAAGTAATATAGTGAGACTTCGCTACTGTAAGAATTGTCTCTCCCCCCTCCCCCTACCCCTTTCAGTCCAAATTATCAGCTGAAAATCGCAAGGCTCGAGAACGCATTTCCATGTTTTTAATGTTACAATTGTTGTTAGTTTGACTGTACATGACTATCTTGATCCAAAGCAAACGTCATTGTTCACGGTTTCTGCTGTTGTTTTCAAAACCATAAAAAGAACACTTTCCTGACTTGATGAGTTAAGAGAATAATTATTTTAAACAGTCATTTGATTTTGATAATTCTTTCCGAGGCCCCTACCCGTTTTGAAGCTGTCAATGACGGGAATCGTTACGACCAGTCGTAAACTAATTAGAAGTCGAAAGAGTTTCCGTCACTCCTGCATGCAACTTTGCAAACAAATGTTTTTTACTTTGCTTTCGAAGGCATTACGACTGGGCAACAACTTGTTCGTGGATGGACACCCTGGCCAACAGACCGATAAAGAATTGATTCCCAATCCGTTCTACGAATTGTTGCTGTGGTCAGTGCTATGCAACATGCATCAAATGGCACTATTTATGTGGGAGCGTGGGTCCGAGAATCTGGCAATGGCGCTAGTGGCGGGAAAGTTGTACAAAGACATTGCGAAGCTAACAAAGCGAGACGATGCCAAGGCTAACGTTACTGAAGAGCTGAAAGCACAGGCTGAGTGAGTTGGCAAATGTTGTAGTTAGCACATGTTTAACGCATTCTTCAGTGATTAAAGAACAAAAGCTGAGAAGTGTGAACATTGTTCAATATTGTTCCTATCATGAATTTGAACTTGAGCAGATTGCCGCGGTCAGTACTTTTATTGATTGTGCAACATTTATGAACGTTCATGCGAAGGGATCCATCCATGAAGCGCAGGTTCTCTTTCAAAATAACAAACTCGTTGCCGTTAGATTCTAAGAAACACTAACTTTAGTTCAATAATACTGACCGTTTTTGACTGCCGTGAAATCACAACCCAATTATGACTCAAAATGGCGTCTTTTCTCACAGTCTACGTCTTAATCGCGTTAAGAGTTCTCTGATCCGATTAAGGCCATATTTTAATTTATCTTATTCTTCAACCCGTATTACCCAAAGAGTCGTAACTTAGCCTTTAACGGAGTGTTTTTCTATCCTTAGTGAGTTCAAGAGACTCTCGCTGGGTTACTTAGACCAGTGCTTTCGAACAAGTGAAGAGCTCACCCGGCAGCTTCTAATCTACAACCCAAAGAACTGGGGCGGACAGACGTGTCTGTCTCTCGCTTATTCCATTGAACACGAGGAATTCCTAGCTCATGTTAGTTGCCAGACTCTTCTCACTGAAATATGGACGGGAAAGATGAATACTTCTCAGAAATCGTCTTTGAAGGTTAGATTATTTGACGCACACTCCAGCGCTCATTGCCTCCAGCCATTGAATTAGGAATGGCATTTACGCTGATTTGACTAAAGTTAAGCGCATGTACACTTACACATTTATGTTTTCATGCGATTTCATTATTCCTGTACTAATTAAAATCTATAAACTATGGGCCGGTTATTTGAACGAATTCTACATTAGCCATTTCGATCTGCTCCGAAGTGTACCATTTCGCATAGGTAAATGTTCTGTTAGTCTCTGTAATATTCGCTCTTGCTATTTTCTTCAGTTAAACAGCGAAATTGACTTAGACGGCGATTTTGTTAAACTCTCATTGAAAACATCGACCGGCCCTACAAGATTAAAACCACATAATAAGCCGGCGAGGTGAACTCTCCGAGATAACGCTATGACTAGATGTAGAGAATATGCTTATATCGGTCCGAACTCGTCGGTTTTGAGTGGTTTTCAATTAAGTATTTGCTTCATCACGCTCTGTGAGCTTGCTGGCTCAAAACTCGCACCACTTTCTCAACCAAAGAGAAGCAAGGCCAAAATAATCCCTACTTGGGTTCCCACCTATTTCAAGGCGCTTTGCTCTGGTTGCATGTCGTTGTTGCCTAATAGCTGTGGAAAAAAATGAAATCCATGTTCCAACAGCGAACAGAACTATGAAAAAGAAGGGTGGTAAAAAAAAAAAAAATCAATTCATGCTTCTACTGGATGTTATTTGAATGTCTTTGCAGACCATTTAAATCAATTCTTATGTCATTAGACCATAGCAGGTCTCCTATTTCCTCCTGCGATATTGCTGTTGGAATTCCACCCACAACCGCCGCTAGACGTGCCAAAGGAAGAAGGCAAGGACCTCGGAAAACACAACCCTGCTTTCACTTCAAACCCAGCAGAGAACGACAGAAAAGTGGAAGCAGTTGAGCTAAGGTAAAAAGTTGTGTTCCTATAAAAGATGCAAATGAAAGCACTAAGGATAAAAGCTAGGTATTGGAAAAGATAACTAACAAAGCTTAATTGCCCATGAAAGCATGATATGCGTGATAGTTGACTCGGGCTGAGCCCTCGTTAGCTATCACGCGATCGAAATTTCGAGCTCATAATTTAACTGCTTAATAGAAACATGATTTTTAACCAACCAGCGCGAGTATTTTCTTAGAGCTGTTTTCTAAAAGGCATATAAAAGACAAATAACTGATTGTTCATTCCTTTTATGACTTTGATTCACATAGGTATCACTACCCGCAAGGATTTACATTCGAGGGAGGAAATTTGGGCAGATTGATCAATTTGTACAAAATAATAAATTTAGACCAGAGAGTTTCGAAAGGACGCTTCTCATGGGCTTAAAGAAGCTACGTCGATGACTTTTACGCTTTGAGTCAATTTTAAACCAAGTACCCTCAAATACCTTACCCAGTACAACCAAAATTCACCAAGAACACCGAAAGAAAGAATCAAACTATTTTCCGGAAAGAGGTGCAAAACATATTTAACTGTATTTGACTATTTGTCTACAGTGAAAATGAAGAATCCATTATGTTTGGGTTCCCTTTGCTTCCAATATGTCTTTCCGCTTTATAACTGAAGTATTGTAAAAATTCGTTACACAGGTTCTTTAAGTAACCGCAAACTTTTATAAACGAAATAATTACAAAGAGAGGCTTCAGTTGAATCTTATCGAAGCCGTTCACGGTTTGACCACTTCGCTCAACGTTTGTTGAGCAGACGCAAGAACACCAAATGGAACTAACAGGTTGTTCAAAGTCTTTTGCCTGTGCCACGCCGAATGATTTAAAAACTTTGAACAGATATTGATTCCGTTACAATTGGCTTCACACAACATTTGTTTTACCTTTCAACATTTGCCCAACGTCCGCACAACCTTTGTTAAATCAGTCAATGGCTACTGAAATGTCGAAACGGGCTTTACAAGCTAAGAGAAGAGGGTAATTCGACACCCCTAAAATGATTCCGTGGGAAGGTCATTCTGATAGTGGCCGCGTGATGAATAAAGACGTTGTGGGTGATAAAAAGAAGTCCAATATCTGCATTCTTTCTATTGTCACTTCCAGGGATCGATGTAACTCTGTACCGCATGGTGTATCCAGAAAAAAGTACAGTCATAAAGTTCAAATGCCGTGGTGGAAGAAAATTTTGGAGTTCTATAAGTCTCCGGCGGCCAAATTTTGGGCCAACGCGGTGAGCTGCTAATTAAAAGTACAGTAACACGATGAAACTGGGCGTCTGTCCATGATACGCAATCAACAGTTACCCAAGTGCGATTTTCAATCGACTTTCGTAAATCCAAAACCAAAGCAATTACTCTGGCCAATCACAACAGACGCAAACAACGCAATGAACCAATCAGAATTTGAAGCAGTCGCTTGTAGCCGTCGTCAAGCGCGGGGAAAAAAATTCGTCTGAGCAAGCCAGGATTGCATTTGGTTTTGGTTCTCATTTGTTGGGAAAGTGCGGGAGCAAGTTTTTTCATCCAATCACAGAGAGCAACAATGCAAAACCAAGACAAATAAGGATTGCTTTCGATACACTCTTAAAAGGTTGATTTAGAAGTTACGAGTTTTAACTTCCACAGCAGGCACTTTCATTCATACCATGCACTTTCAAAACATTGTGTACAATGCTGGTTATTCGCAATATTGCCCGCTGGGACCTGCGATTATCTTAGGGTTTCAAAATGTAGTTCAAAATCCAAAGAGTTTT